TTATTATTATTATTATTATTCATCATGGCCTCTAAAATCGCACCACATGCCCCACAAAGTGGGTCACGTTCTCGCCCCGTATGGCAAAGTAGAATGGATGATCCGCCCGAAAGAACTTTTGACGCGACGAATTGCTAATCACAATTGGCTTGTAGCCTAAAACAAGAAAAGGAAATAATTAATTATACTATGTAACACTTTCCGACACCTGAGTGGCCCTGTCTACTGCACTCACCTGTTGCTGGCGGCGGCAACTCGGAGCCGGAGCCCGATTCGTTTAGGTCAATGCGCAGCTTGTGCAGCACATCAACAATTGGCTGATTGGCAAGCGAATGCAGGTGCTTGAAGTTGGCAGAGTTCTCAAAGATCTCCGAGAAACCCAGCTGTAGAACAGATTTTAAAGGCGAGGGTTGATTAATAGGTTAATGTAAATGAAATACAAATAAATTCAATTATCACAAAAAAAGGTAAGAGTGCTCTAGTCTAGTACAGTTTATAGTTGAAGTATAGGATTCTTTATTTAAATATGTAGCATCAATTTTCTCTTCTACGAAATGGACACTTTATGAATGAATATAATGCAGTAGGATCCGGTTAGAACGACGCTCAAGTAATTGTCGTTATACCCGGAAGCCGCTATAACCAATGAAATTAACTAATTTGTTTTGAGACCAGAATTTTCGTCGCCATATCTGAAAGGGCGCTATAAGCGGAGTCGCTATAACCGGTTTCTACTATAGCTCGATTTTGTAAATTTTGATTTTGTATGATTTCTTTAAATCATTTCTATACGGCTATGTATTTATAGAAAAAACTTTAAAATACAATATAATCCGGTTATAACGACTCCGCTTATAACGTTCGTCGGTTATTGCGACGAAAATTCCGGTTCCCAGACAAGCTTACATGAGCAAACTTACACGGTTAAAGCATCTTTCGGGTATAGCGACGATCCCTTGAGCGTCGTTATAATCAAATCTTACTATATCATATAAATTATAAAATGTATAAGCTAAATACTTTTCTTGATAATAGCTGATTAATTTTAGTATATAACTAAATTTATTTCATGCAAATCGGAGTTTCCCGTGAGGAGAAATTTAAGACCTAATTAGTATCTCCACCGGATGATGCCGCAAATGATGTGCCCAGACACCCCATGCCGGATGATTTACTAAAGTGTTAACGCTGCTGATGATGATGTCAAAACCTACATAAAGACCTCCATAACCTATACTTCTTGAGCAACCCTCGCAAAAATGAGTATTCAATTAATTTGCCCACCTGCTTAAGCGCCTGCCGCAGACTGCACTCAAAGTCAATGGAGAACTTGGGCAGCAACACCTGAACGCTCTCCACCTGCATGCGCTGCTGCAGTGCAGCCAGATCGACAGCTCGCAGCTGAGCCTCCAGCTGGGCCAGGGCCGCGGCGTCGCGGCTGTTGGGCAGGATTAGCAGCATGGCCAATTCGTCGGCATGCTCGTAGGGCAGCTCGATGGCACGTGCGTCAAGCTCCCGCAGCTCCGCGTACTTCACGAACATGTCGTCGTCGAAGAGCATGGGCACTGGCTTCGGCTCGCCCGTGGAGTTGTGGAACTCGTAGAGGCCGGTGCGGTAGGCGCTGAAGGGCAGAAACCATTTGCTGTGCAGGCGCGCCGCGAGCAGCAGCAGCAGCTGCTGTGCCACCTGGCTGACGTTTACCTGGAGCGGCTGCTGCCAGGTGCCGCCGCCCACGCTGGAGAGCAGATTGTCGGCGATGTAGCGGCGCAGCTTCTCGGACTGCTGCAAGTCGAGGCACTCGGCTGTCGCATGGAAATACGTTTGGGCAATCTTCTGGAAGTCATCCGCGATGCTCGCGCCGGAGCTGGCCTGCAGCAGCAAGCGATTCTGCAGCTGGATGCGTGTGTCCGGATCGCCCGTGGCTGCAGCCAGCTCGGCCGCATAGTAATTGGCCATCTTTGCATTGCTAGCGAAGCGCTGCTTCAGCTTCAGCAGCCGCTGCAGCTCCTCCGCCGTCGTCCCATCGGAGCCCAGGTAGAGCAGCGCCAGTGTCGCCTCCAGCAGCAGCGGCGAGACAATCACATTCTCATCGGCCGCGGCGGATGCGATGCTGTGAAAGATCTCGGCGCCAAGATTGAGCTCAAGTGGAGCGCCAGGCGCTGCAGGAGCAGGCGCTGCACTCATACTGACAGAGTGGAGGAAGGGGGCTGAGCTAGGGGGGAGCTGCGGAAGAAAAGAGAGAGAGAGGGAATATAATGAGAAGGGAACTCCATGTCATTTGATTTAAGTTGGTATAAGTGAGCGACAACCACTATCAAGAGCATCGGCTGTAGTTGCAGCTGTGAGAGCGAGAGCGAGAGCATCGAGTTTCTTCTTGCTGCTCTCCTCTGCTTAGTATTTGAAACGATGAAATGAAACAGTATGAAATTGAACCCGAAGACGTGCAGAAGCATTTGTGTGGAACTCCTCAGGTTAATTTTTACTCTCGATGCAGTGGGGCTGAACCGAATAACTTTAATAGGCGACCAATAATAAATATATTTATTAACGCTAATTATATACCTTTTTAATATCAATAAAAAATCATGGAAATACTTCTTTGCTAGGTAATGAAAAAATCATGAAATTAATAATAAACAATACAATTTTAAATAACAGCTATTAACGACAAATGAATGAATAAAAAATAAAAAAATAAAAAAAAAACTTGAATTACAAAAATTTAATTTATTAAAATAACACTTCAATGAAAAAAATTTTATA